AGAACATTTACTCGTGCTCTGCTGGTCTTTGACTGACCTCCAATTCCTTCGATGCGTAATGTTGTATCATTAAGTTTTACTGACAACATTGATGCCATTCGTTCAGAGATCAGGTTGATCTGTGATCCTGAATCCAGCAAGGCTCTGAAATTGGCTCTCTGTCCATTGTTTGCTTCTACTGCTACTTTTGCTGTAGCTAACAGGTTGTAATTATTGTTACTTGCTGCGCCAACCGTCGGTGCTCTTGGTTCTGTACTTACGCCCGATGGTATGTCCAAGTGCAGCAGTGTATTGTGTTTTTTGTCGCATTTGAAACATGTCCGACCTGGGCATGCATTTGTTTTGTGGCTTGTTTTAAAACAGTTGACACACAATTTCTGCTTTTGTACCCAATTTAGTCGTTCTGATGGTGATTTGGAGCGAAACTCATCGCATCCGTAGAGCCAATGGCTTGCCTTCTTGCAGAATGAGCAGAGAGGCGTCTTCGATTTTCCAGTATTTACTGTTGCACATGTTGTGCCTTTTGGCTCTTTCCTTGACATTTGTGTCTTTTTGCCTGTTCCTAGAACTCGAACTCTTTGTTCTAGGAACTGAAGCATTGTGTCCAAGGCCTGTATTTCCTTTGAGCTTCCCAATGATTGCTCGTACAAGGCTCTGTTAGTGACATCTAGCTTATTTTTGATGACGGCAATCAATATTGGATCCCATGTGGATATATTGATGCCCAATCCCTTTAGTGATGCCAGGGATTCGATAGTTGTAACGTACAACTCTTTTAATGACTTGGAGTCGTCATTAACTGTGTTATAATTTAGGAAGCGGTTTAATACCGTGCTAGCGACGTCTCTGGGATTGTTGTATGTATCAATCAGAATTTCCCAGGCGCTCAAATAGTTTTCTTCCTTTAGATCGATATGTCGGATCAATCTTTCTGCCTCTCCAGTTACGGTTGTTTTCAGATACCACATCTTCCGAACTGTGGGCATGTTTGTTTCATGTATCATACATGAAAACAGGTCATAGAACTGGGACCATTTCAGTATGTCCCCATCAAACTTGGGAATGTTAATGCGTGGAAGCTGCACGTCATTATTGTTTGATGTGGCTGGTTTTGCCAATGCACTTTGAACCTCTTTTTCCAGGGTCAGGTAGGCTTCCATGTTGTATCCTCCTTCCTCTGGGTTATCGTATTCTTCGTGAATAGTAAAATGGACTTCTTGTGCTTGAGTCCATAGTGATTTTATCAAATCACTTGATGTACGTCCTCCCGCCTCTGAGAATTGTCTCAGAATGCGTTTTATGGACGCTACTATGGCCTTTTGTCGGCGACATAGTGAAGGCAATTTGCTGTAAACTTCCGTTGGATGCTGGCTCTGATCATTCGATTGTGGTTCGTCATTTTTACCCACCTGAGCACTTGATGCCTGATTTAGCTTGTCCATGCTTTCAGTAAACATCGCAAGGTACGTTTTTAGTGTTTTACGCAAGTCCTCACGAAATTTAACGTAGTGGTCGGTCTTATATGCCTTTGATATCTTGGTGTCGATTTCGTTAAATCTGTTCCATGCATCCTCGAGAGCCGCCTTTTTTGTATGGAAGTACGTCATATTCTGTTTCCTTTCTGAAGAGGCTTTTTTGGTTTCTTATTCTTTTATCTCCAATTTCTTGGCATTTAAGCGGCCCGGGCCATTCGCCACTGACTTACCCGTTTTTATTCGCTTTGCAGCTGGATACGCTCCTATTCGCAACCGATGTGGTACAAAGTATAAGTACAGACGACGTACTGGATGGAGGTTTTGTGCTGGTGAAACGCACTTGTGATCTTGATATTATTAATCGTTGATCTTGTTGGCTTATGATCTGAAAGTGACAGATCTGCTAATTTGTTCTACTTATTGGTAGGAGATTCTACCGTAAGTATGTGGCTTGTTGCCAGTTTGTATTGAAAAGTCCTGGTGACTTCTTCAGTTTGATCTGCAGGTTTTCCTGCGTCGGGGTCACCAAATGTTAATGTGTGATTGTGTGTGTGTTTTGGTATGCATACGGTACATAAACCGTCTACAAATTTGTCGTCGCAACTAGAACTTGAACCAGTTGGACTGCGGAGAGGGATTCCTACGTCGAGCAAATGAGGGTCTGAAGACACGGCGACAGCCTCTGTTGATTGCAGTTGTAGAGAATGAGTGAACAGGCAGTGATGGTACTGTTTCTGATACTGATTTTATTCAACAAACTTAATTTCTATTTATAGGTAACAAAAGGTACAGAAAGTGCTGAGTCTAGTAAGAATATGGTAAAAGGGAATTGGAATTAATATTGAATTAATTTGGATTTAATATGATATTGTGTTATTGGGCAATTGTGATAGTCAGCAATTGCACCAGTGTTTTTGCCCTCTGACGAGCGATCGCATCGTTGGCAGAAATTGCTGCAGAAGCGGTTATTTTTGACTCAGCTACAATGCCTTGTCGTTTGTTATTATGTCTCCCGTTACATGGGTCGACCTGACTTATTCGATAAGTGTATATTATGTAATATTAATTACTGCATAAATATGCGACTGAACAGCCTTAAATTCGAATATTTTACATATTGTGTATTCAAAGTGTCATACCCATACCTCCACAAATAAATCGTTGATACGTAGCAAATGTGTATTAGCCGTGTAGTTATCATGTAAGAAAGGGACATTTTTGTAGAACTTCTTTGTTCAAACCTTATTTTATAGGTAATCAAATAAATGGGAGTCTTTAAAACAAGCCAGATTGCAGAAAATTGATTCATCTATCTGATAAAATCATATTTTCACTCCTTAAAGTCCTAACTAGCTAATAATATTAAATCGAATATCAAAATCGAGGAATATCAACGCAGCTTGTCAGTATATGTACGGTACATCTCTTGGGTATTTTTGGGCTCATAATTAAACGTAAAAACGAGTCGGGAGAGCGTTTTGAGTGCTCTCTTTCGACTGGGTCATGGCAAGGTATGGCCCCAGTATTAAAACAGACCAGCTTTTTTTAAGGGCCTCGTAAGGACCTCACCCAAGCCGACGGAATAAATATACCATGTTTGCGTGAAAGAACAAAATCCCGCACGGTGAGTTATATGGTGAGGTGGGTATTTTTCTTGAAAGCTCTAAATTTTGTGACGTCACACCTCATACCCTTATCCTTGCGGCGGAAATGAGTTCGGAGAGCGTTTCGAAATTGGTGGTGACTTTTCGTGGTGTGAGAAACATGTATCTGACGCAACAATGAATCTTCATTCCATACGCGTTCCCGTAAGATACATTTGATTTGTATTGGAAAAAATTCAGCAGCATGTGGAAATGTTGTACAACTTTGGCACGGAATGAGCAACAATCTGCATACCTTGGGAAAATGGATATTATGGACTTGAGATATTGTTTGTAATTTCAGGCTCCAGCTAATGCAGAAACTACTCAGTCTCTGTTTTAAAGATATTAACGAAATTTTGCAGCTAACGGGTACCAATAATAGGTATCAGAACCGGGATAAATGTGTATATAAAACACAAAACATATGCATTAATAGGTAAAAAACATCTCAATCTAAGAAAACTGCATTATTAATGTTTCAATGGAGCTTGGAAAAATAAATTTAACATTAATTAAAGAAAATACGGTATACAAAAGTCCTTACGCATAGAAGAAACTTGGTTGACCAGCAACACTGACGTCACATTTAGTCAACATTTACGTTTTATGCTTTTGGCCGTTTTTGTTTGAACCCTATTATGTAAACAATCCAACGAAAAAGAGTTCTAAAAACTAGCCAATCTTGTACAAACTTGATTGAGGAATTGGATAAAATTATTTGTTTAGGGCTGAGATTCCCAGCTAGCTAGTAATATTATACGGAATATCAAAATCGAGGAATATCAACTATCAAAACTATCGCTAAACCGTCGATAGTAGAGGCTAGCAGTAAAATATCGATGATATCGATAGTGACCTATTGACACCTCTATTTGTACATTTTCTACTTTTTTAAATTTATTTTTTTTCTTGTGATTTGTTTATCGAGTGCGTGTTCGCGCGGATATTATTGCCGATTCTGAAGAATACAAATGTAAGGGTCAAGCGGCATTTAATTAATGACTCGTGCCGTTGGTACCGCTCGTATTCGCATACATAATTTTACTTTTTGGCCAAATTGAATGCCAATTGGGAAAATGTTTGCATCATTTTGTGTGTGTTGCACGCCAAAGCGTTTTCTTTTTGATTGTCGACAAGGGGGGTGCGGGCGCGCGTGTGCTTGTGGGTGTGTGTGTGTGTGCGTGCGTGTGCGAGAGGGAGGGAGGGAGGGAGGTTGTCCCATGTCCCAGTCTCTGGTGTTTTTTTTTCATGATGGTGGATGCTTGACAGAGGGGAGGTGATAGCCTCTGCTAATATATGGAAACAGCAGACAAAAGAAAAGAACTGGAAATTACAATACAAAAAAAGTGTAAATGAACGTTTTTGGGGAAAAACGCGCCCTGTTTGTGGGATGGTGTGTGTGTGTGTGGGCAGGGTATATTAATTAGAAGGTAGGGCAGTGCAAAAGAGCGAGACCCAAAACTTGTTTGGGTGGGAAACATAAAAAAACGAGCTAAAAAACAAAGTCCCTTTCGAAAGAGCAGGCTCTGAGAGAGCGAGAGAGCGGCAATTGCCTTACATTAAAAATGAATATACCTTTTCCATGTGCATGTATGCATGTGTGTGTCGCGTGAATGGGTGTTCGTGTTCTCTTTCAATGTGTTTTTCTGTGTGAATGGGATTTCTCTCCCTGTGTGTGTGTGTGACAGCGTACGCGTACGTGCGGCTGTGTGCGTGCTGCATTATTTTTGTGACGAAATGAAATTGTTTACGTTTATGTTTATTTGCACACACAAACTCTCACACACAACACACGCACACACATTGTAGGCCGCTGTGGAAATCAAACAAAATGCAACAACCATTGCAATAACAACAAAACGTGCAACAAATTCAAACAAAACATAAACAAAAACAATAAGCAAGCAGCGAACAAGTTTAAAAAAAAAAAGTGCATTTAAATATTTTCGTGTGTGGGACTGGGGAAGCGGGTTAACCGACTTCCCGATTGAAGCGCCAAATGGGTATCGTTCGACGGTATCCAGTGCCATTGCCGATGCCCAGGAGTGCCGTTGCGTGGCTGAGCAGAAGCAGCAGGAGCAGCAACAGTAGCAGCAGCAGCAGCAGCAACAGAACAGCGGCCATCGACGTCGAAGTCAACGTCGCCGTCGTCGTTGTTGCCGCCGCAGTCCAAAAAAAGGCGGCCCAGTGAGTGCGAGCAAGTCAGAGTGAGTAACCGTTTAACCATTAACCGTTAACCGTTTCATCGAATGTTCTCGAAATCGAAAATCCTTTAAGTTTTCAAAATGTGTGCTTTTAGTTTTTCACTGAGAATTTCGAGGATTTTCCTGCTTCCAAAATGCGTATCCCTCCTGAAGGGAGGATTCCTCCTTATCCCTGTAGCCCTGCTCGCCCTTTACAATATACAGAGAGAGAGAGAGAGAGAGAGAGAGGAGTTGCCTCTTTCGTGTCTTATCCCGTTTTCCCCCCTTATTCGAGGGAACATTCTAGCGAGCATTTATTCCCTTTTGTTTGTCACGTGCGGACACTTGAACTAAATAAACGGTAGAAAACTGAGAGAGAATGTGGGGGCGGTGTGGGTGTGGGAAAGAAAGCAGAATCATCCTCTACCCCCAATGCTCCTCTTTTGTCGTACCCTGCACCCCCGTGTAATCATCCGTTCTGTCCGCAATCCAGAAAACCATTTCAAATAACTTCGTAAAGGGTATTCCCTTAGTCGGTACACATACATCGACTGTTTTTGTGTCCCTCCCGTTTTATTTATGCCGTGCGTTGCCACCCGCCTTTCGTTCTCGTTGCAGCCCCACGAGATGGTCTCGAAGAAGCGTTCCAGCGTCGCCGAGCGTGTCCAACGCTCAACGGCAACGGCAGCAGCAGCGGCAGCAGCAACAACAACACCATCTGCCCCTGCTTCAAGTGCGTCCGGAACAACGGGGAAGAAGCGGGTGGGAAAACAAGCGAAAGCCCCCACAGAGGAGACGGAGGAAAAGAAGTCAGCGTCAGCATCGGGCAAGAGGCAGACAAAGGATCCTTCAGCAGCAGCAGGAGGAGGAGCACCAGCCACAGAGAGCAGCAGCACCAGCAGTGGGAGTGGAAGTGGCTCCAAGTCCAGCGCCCAAGCAACGCCCAAGCTCTCGCCCGAGGAGCGGCAGGAGGATGGCAAGGCGCGGGCCATCAACAAGATGCTCAAGAATCTGGACATCAAGATCCATGGATTCGACAATCTGCTGCCCAGCGGTGAGGGGCCCCTGAATGTGGGCTCCATCTCCAAGTCCTCCATTTCGGAGAATGTCAAGACCAAGTCGCGGGCAGCCGCTGTCAAGGTGATAGCCAGCCTCAATCCCGGCAAAACGATGCCCGTGAAGCGGCCGCCGCGCCCCTCCCCGGAGAAGGACAAGGACAAGGACAAGGAGAAGCCAAAGCCGGAGACCAAAATGGAACCAGAGTCCACCATCGATGGCAGCTCAAAGGTGGCGCCACAGAACGATGCCAAGGAATCTCAAGGAGTCACGAAAGGATCCAAAAAGGCAGCGCAAACGCACGCAAAGAAGACAAAGGTGGAGACGACGGTGACAGCACCAGCAGCAGCAGTTCCAACTACGACGCCAACTGCAGCAGCTGCGGCTGCTCCTTCTGCACCTGCCGCAAAACAGGGCAAGCTGGCAGCCAAGAAGGGAGCATCGACAGCAGCAGCACCGGCACCAGAGCAGCCCCCAAAGCCCACCGCCAAGGTAGTCAAGGCCACGAAGAAGGCGTCGAATCCGTCCCAGCGCCTGCCCGACTCCAATACGGAACCCGTGCAAATGGAGCTGGAGGAGATTGTTGGCACAACAACAGCCACAACAACAACAACAAGGACAAGGACCCCGACACCCAATCGGACGCCAACAGCCACGCCCACACCCACACCCGTGGAGGTTCCCGGACCGCCAGCAGCAGTAGCGAAACAGCGACCGAAGATCAAGTACACAAAAACCTCGGCGGGATCGAAGGTTCGCCTGCAGCAGCAACAGCAACAGCTGCAGCAGCAGCAGGGTGCAGCGGGGGGCCACCAGAAGGCAATGCCCTCGTGGAGTCAAGGCGGAGCGGGGGCCAAGGATATTTACGACTTTAAGTCGGGCTCCGAGGATGAGGAGCCCATCAAGATGGTGCTGCCAGCGCTGAAGCAGTTGCGGGAATTCTCTGAAGAGGACAACAAGCCGCTGAAGCAGCCAAAGGAGAAACCCACTGAAGAGCAGAAGCAGGCAGAGAAGGAGCAGGAAAAAGAGCCGCAGGAGGAGCCGGAGACGAAGGAGAAGGCAAAGCCAAAGGTGGAGATGCAGATCAAGGAGGAGGAGGGAGAGCAGAAGGATAAGGAGAAGCAAAAAGATAAAGAGAAGCAAGTGGAAAAGCCCTCAGCATCCACAGCAGCAGCACAGTCCGAACAAGTAGCAGCCACAACCACAACAACATCCACATCCAAGATCAGTGCCACAGCCTCAGCCGCGGCCAAGAAGCAAGCGAAACGCAAGCTGGCAACATCCTCTTCACCCTCCCCAAAGGCGCCGCCCGGAAAGAAGAAACAGCCAGCGGCAAAGGCCGCAGCAGCAGCAGCAGCAGCTGCCAGCCCCGCCAGCGATAGCTCTGGGGAGAGCAGCGACTCCGAGGATGAGAAAAAGCTGAGCGCCTACAGCGGCCCCAAGCGGCATCGCATGGCCTCCCTCAATGCCCTGGCGAAGGTGCAGTGCCTCTACGAGAATGAATCGCGGACCGCCCACGAGTTGGGACTCTCGAAGGCCACACAACAGCCGCCACGGATACGCACATTGGATGGGAGTGACGATGACAATAACCACAAGGAGTCACCGCGCAACGGAGAGGACAAAGACAAAGAGTCCTCGTCGACGCCATCAACGCCACCGGCACCACCACCGCCCAAAGAGATTGAGCCCCGAAGGGAGCTGCGGTATGTGCCCGGTGGCAGGGGCGTGGGCAAGCACTGGGAGTTCGATAGCGACAGCGAGGGGGATGAAATGCAGCTGCCGGCCCTGCCACAGCCCAAGAAAAAGAAGCTGCAAAAAAAGCCGCCACCAAAGAAGGCGGCAGCAGCGGCTGCGGCGCCAAGCGGCAGCGAGACGGACGCCAAGAAGCCAGAGAAACCGAAGCCACCACCCAAGCAAGTGCCGAAAAAGCGAAAGACCCCGTTCACCGAGGAGCTGATTGGCGACTACAAGGGGATCCTGGCGAGAAAGCGAATGGCCAGCCTGAATGCCAGCGCCATTGTGGCGGCCACCTACGAGGTGGAGCGGCATCTGGACAAGAATCTGGCCAGCGACTGCAGCAGCTTCGAGAGCTACGACGAGCTGGAGATGCAGGCAGTCGTCCAGCAGTCCACCAAGATGATGCCGCTCAAAGCGGACGTGCACATCAAGAAGGAGCCAAAGGAGACCAAGGAATCGTTGCGCGAGAGGGAGCGCGAAAGGGAGCGTGAGAGGGAGCGCGAGCGGGAACTGAAGGAATCATCCCTCAAGGACAAGGTGCCGCCCAGCAGTCACATACTCATCGAGGAGAGCAACGACTCCAAGTACTCGAAGGAGACCAAGGAGACGAACACGGACACCACCACAACCACCAGCAGCAGCAGCGGCGGCGGCGGCACCACCACCAGCGGCGGCTATCGGGACTCGAGCAGCGCCAAGGATGCCAAGGACTGCAGCCGACCGACCTCCTCCAGCGTTGTGATCGTCCAGGACACCGATGTGACCATCACGGGCGTCTATGTGAATGCCAGCAATGGTGCGGCCCAGGAGGCCTACTGCAAAATGCAATATCGTGTGCAGTCCAGCGTCACCGAGGAGCGCGTGCTGCGACCGGGCTCCGTCGAGCCACCGAAATCCTATACGCCCTTGAGTGCGCTCTCCAGCATGCTGCCGCCCGGCGCCAGCTCCGGCCTCAGCGAGGGTAAGTAGTGATTCTCGTATGCCATTGCCATTCCTTCTCGCAAACAGCAATAGACCTACCATGTCCCGAATCTATTGGGGAATTACTTTGAGCTGCAGCTACAGCTGTCACTCTGAAACGATTTAAAACGTAGCACATTTGTCCCGCCCATCACAGCGCTTGGAAAATGATATATGTATGTATATTCGTATCCAGAGTTCCATTTAGTTCGAAATTTATTCTCACGTTCACGCGTGAAATTGCAATATTCCGCAGAAAAGTTATATGACGTCAGCTGTTTGTATTATTCGCCATAATATTGGAATATTTTTGTTCTGCATATGGGCATTTTTCAGGATTACACACACATTTCCATATAATTCCGCACCGATTTTATTTTTGTAATTTATTGAAATTTTAGTAATTTAACCAATTGACATTAAAACTAAATTTTTATTCGTTCATATTTTTGGTACTTTTAATACCATGTTTTCCCATGTTTTTTCTCATGTGGAAAATTCTTTGCAAAAGTCTCTTTTGCATATTCATATTTTTCATATTCACAACTAACTAAACAAAATCCCACCGCCCCCCGCTTTTGAATCGTTGTCCGCGAAGAATACGAAAAAATAAATCTTCTGTGCACATTTTTCCAAATAAATCTCTATTTTATGTTGAATATTGAATATTTGTTCACTCTCATGAAAATGCCCATAGGCGAGTATTCAACGAAAAACCCAAAACATTTGCGTGATTTTATACAAATTGTAAGAAAATTTTTGTTTCAAATGGGCCCCAAATATATTTTGGATATTTCCTTGTTAAATATTCGTGACCATTAGTTTATGGGAAATCGTAGAAAATAATTGCATAATTGATTCCGTTTCACCCCGTTAACCTTATCCCCCTTTATCACAGCTCATAGTTCGCCGCCGCTGCCCATTCAACCGCCAGCACCGCATGTCCTGCTGCCCGGCGAACATTTGAGCGCCGGCATGTACCATGCCCCCGATCTGGGGCTGCACACGGAGCATGCCGTGCCCGAGCATCATGGCCCGCCGCCGCCCTCATATGCCGCCGCTGCAGCAGCGGCCGCGGCAGCCGCTGCCTACCATGCCCATCAGCTGGGCCACGGAGCAGGCGGCGGTATGCTGCACATGCACCACCAGCACCAGTATGCCGCACATGCGGCGCACGCCCATCACTACCAGCAGGCGGCTGAGTACGCCCATGGTCCGCCGCCGCCACCACCTCCGCATCACTACGGTGGACCACCGCCGCCCCAGGTGCCACATTATGGGCCACCGCCGCCTGGGGCGCCACTGCCAGTGCCCGTACCGGTGCCAGTGCCGGTACCAGTGCCCGTGGCCGTGCCAGTGCCACCCGATCGATGTGATGTGGGATCGCCGCCACCCTCGTACCGGGCCAGTGCCTATCCACCGCCGCCGTCGGGTATTGTGCCACCACCGACAATAGGCGGCGGCTCGAGTGCCTTTTGTGCACCGAATCCGCACCACCATCATCAGCACCACAGCCAGCAGCAGGGGCCACCGCATCATCACGATCCCAGTGGTAAGTCTATCATTTTTTTATTTGTGTGTTTTTGTGTGGTGGTTGGAACTGATCATTTTGAATGCTATCGATAAATACTTTACAGGCGATAGCTTTAAGTTTCAATACTGCGAAATTTTAATTTTGGATTTACGGATTGAGATTCAATCCCCCCCCACCACGCACCACCCATCACCATATTCGTTTGCTGTATTCACACCACCAAAAATAAAATTCAATTTCTCTGGCAAAGTTCTGCCTTGAGTTTTTGTCGAAATATGGCAATCGAATAATCGATAAGTTGCCCCGCCCCCCCAATGCATTTTCAAAAGGATCGCACAAAAAAACTTTGTGCCCAAAACTCAATTGGGGATAAATTTCCATATTTCAATTTCATATTCCATTGGCAAGGGGCCAAAAAAATTCTCTCTCTCTCTCTCTCTCTCTTAGCGGGTACTTCTCCCTCGCTAAAAGTTTATGCCGGCAGCAACAAAAACAAATTCTCATTGATTTCTATTATCTTCAAAGAATGGTGGAAGGGGGGGGGGGGGGTGCACAAATTTTATATAGTTTTTGAAAAGTTTTTGCAGCCTAAAACTGCATTAAAAACTGGTAGGGGGTTATTTGGAATTTTGGGGCAGAGATTAGTTATTAGAGGACACTCCACAGGGGGGGCTGTGCACGCCTCCTCAAACAGATGGGCGATGTCTTGTTGGCTTTCAGCCTGCCTTCCTTCCGGCCAGCATCTTTCATCCTTCATCTATAGCCTTTTGCGGTTTGTTTTTTGAGCAACAAGAAGAACGAAAAATAAAAAAAAAAAAAAAAAATCATTGCATTTACTTAGGCGCGCGCAGAATAAGCCTTGCTGTCGCCTTGCTACGTCTGTGTTTGTGTTGGCGAAAAGCCGGAAACTGTAAGCAGGCAAGCAGCAAAACGGAAACAGAGACCAAAATGCAAGCAAAAAGTAAACACCAGAGAAAGAGAGAAGGAGAGAGCGGGAGAGCCAGATCTCCCTCCACAGCCGTAGACGGTAGGCAGGGGCGGCTGCCTAGAGGAGCCAGCCAACCTCCATAGATGTCATTTACCTTTCCACACACACACAGACATAGTGTGGCACTCACACAGAGGCTGGGATGTGCATATTACGTAGGAAAAGTTGCGTTTATGCGCCTAAAAGCAGGCAACATATTTTGTATGCCCATGCAGCTGGACGAAGGGAAAGAAGAATGGATTCAAACCCCCTCCCTGGAGACGATATGATGGGGCGAGATGACATGATGCGATGAGAGATGGGAATGTGAAATGAAATGATTTGGAGAATGCGCTCTCTGCTGCCGCTGCTGTCTGTCGGTTGCTGTGTTTTTTTGGGCGGGGGTTTTCACTTGGAATATCGATTCACATTGATTTGATCCGCAGTCATTCGCAATTTTTTTTTTTATTATGATTTTATACCAATTATTTGATAGCAAACCGATTCGGATAAAGCTTGAGATATTAATCACTAATTTTATGGCTGTACATATGTATGTATGAATGGTTCGCTTATGCTCTCTTTCACTTTGGCTTGAGACCGAGAATGCAGAAACAATATGCATGCAGTGTGCGTGATTTAAATGACAGATTTACGGGATGGGTCATTCAATGAATAGTTGAGTAGCTCACTCTGAATGCATTCACTTAAGCCTATGTGTGTGTGTGTGTGTCTGTGTGTGTGTGAACCAACTTATTCATTATCTTTTGCATTCATACTGGGATCATCGTCGATTTGCCAGTCAATGTGCATGCTACATAAGTAGGCTATCCTCCATCCACACACACAACCATCCACACAACCAACCAACCAACCAACCAACTCTCTCTCTCTCTCTTTTTCTCGATTCCATTCACATCTTGTCACTGCACTCCTCACTCCTGATTCCTTTTTCTCGCCTTTATTCATGTCCGCGTGAGTGTTTGCACTTTGCACGCTGCTGTTCCGTGGAAACTCTGCTGACAGTTGATAATTCATTAGCACATGTTCTATTTGACGTTCGTTCATCCGTGCTGCTGCTGACGGCGAACACACACACACACACACACAGCAGTAACAGACAGAGAAAGAGAGAGGGGGAGAGAGAGAGAGCGATTGTCGACTGTCTTGGGCTGCTGCGACTCTGTTACCAACGTCAAGCGCCGGCAGAGAGTCTGGCAAAAAAGCAAAAAAAAAAGAAGAAAAAGGATTTTGGCATTTGCCATTTTATTTTTTTTTTTTGAGATTTTTTATTTTTTTTATCCCATTCCGTTTTGTGCCGGTTCTTCTGGTCTTCATGGACCGTGTGTTTTTCTCGGGAAAAATGTTTTAGTGCGCATTTAGACGTCGTCGGACACGGCAACGATGCCTCTCGAGAGTCGCTCGTGTTTTGTGGGGTTAGAAGAGGAAGAGGCGGCAGAAACAAGGAGTTGAAAGATGATGATGATGATGATGATGATGATGCTGCTGATGATTCGCAGCGGTGGCAACAACGTGCTGCTGCTGCTGCTACTGCCACAAGGCGAATACGCAACGTGAATGGTGGCGATGCCACAGGGCGTATACGTAATGTGAAAGGCGCGGAACACAACGTGGCGTGGCATGGCGCGGCGTATACGTTTTGTGGGCAAAGCGCGTGTTTCGGCTGGCTCCTTCCCATCCTCATCCTCATCCCCACATTCGTTTTTGTTGTTGTTCAGTTTTGTGGTTGCAACAGCAACAAACCGGCAATTTATTGTCAATTTACCTCGTAGTCGAAGGCCCCACCCCGGCTTCTATTGTTGTTATTAAACAAAAGACGGGCGACGTCGCGCGTGTTATGAAAAAATAAAAAATTAGTAGAAAGAAAAAATGTAAAACGTTTTGTGTGTTTTTTTTTGTGTGTGTGTGTGTGTGGAATATGTGAAGGAATGCAATAATAATAATAATAACGTAATAATAATAGCTCGAATGCAATACACAAGCTCTGCCCCGCCCCGTCCCGCACGGAGACCGGAGAAAAAATACAAAAAAAAAAAGAGCGAGAGAACAAAATAGAAAAGAGGAATCGCGTGCCGGCTACCTACCGGCCTGTCAGCTGCGACGGCGATAGTGACGGCTTGGCCATTCGGTTAAGTTAAGTTGGCTGCCGCTTGCACGATGCGTTTTCAGCCGACGATTTTCAGAGCAAAATCATCCATTCAATCGCTTTCTTTGAGCCGGAAAAACAATATAAATTTTGATTACTTTGTGGGTTTTCTCTTGTTTTGTTGTTGTTGTTCAGCAAAGAATTTACGCGTTGCACACCACGGCGTATGGCAAGTAGTATGTAGCATAAAATATACCAGCAGTAAAATATCGACGGTATAAAAGGCATCGTTTAACAGCAGCCGAACAGCATTCGTGGCCGTTCGTTTGACTCTGGGCCGGCCAGTGTCCGGTTAGGGTCGGGGCTTCGTCCACAAATCTAATTAGCCTTGCATTTCTGTTCGCCAGTTAATTTTAATTGCAACTGATTTATGAACAACGCAATAATTTTTTTTTATTTTTTTTTTTCATCTCCTGACGGGCCGCCGCTGCTGCTGCTCCCTTTGCCCCGCTGTTGCAGCGCTGCATCTTTTTCTCTAGTCTCTGCATTATTGTGTTTTGTTGTCGTTCACTGATTCTCTCTCTCTCTCTTTGTCTTCATTGCCTTCGTTTGTGTTTTGTTTGGTTGGGCAGCGCGAGAGAAAGAGAGACAGAAGGAGAAGGAGAAAAAAAATGGCTAGAGCACTAGCATCCGGCTAAGAGTCTGAGGAATGCTCTTCTTTGTGCAGTGTTGGCACAGGCGACAAATTGGTCGCCGGCAAAGTAGGGAAGCTACATATACATATAGACGTATGCATGCGACTTTTAATAAAATGTCTCAATCAAAATGTTGAAGAAAACAAAAACAAATTAGCCAGAAAACAACGTCACGATTTAATTAAGAAAATGCATCTATCATATTTCATCTTAATCCTACAATAGAAATTTATCCAAATAATATTTTAACACATTTGTCGCCTGGCTGTCGCTGCCTCTGCCTTGCTTCTGTTGCAATTGTCTTTCTCCTTTGGGCTGCTGTTCTGCCGCTGCCGCTGCCTCTGCCGCGGCCGACTGTCGCTGCTTTTATCTCACTGCAAGTCGCGCCTTGCTTGGCTTGCCTTTTCTGCGCTCTCTCTGGCTTTGCGCTGCTCTCATCTCAGCTGCTCTCTTTTCCACTGTCCCTCTCTTGCTCTCCCTCTCTCTCTCGCTCTCTTCCCATTATCATGCAGCCAGTTCTTGAGCTTTGCGACGCTACAAAAAAAAAAAAAAAAAAACGGCAAGAAAAAATAAATGGGGAAAAAAGCTAACGGCAAAATCGCATTGCATCGCATCGCATCGTTGTTGTCGCTGGCTCTGCCTGCCTGCCTGCCTGGCCTGCCTGCTGCTGTCGTCATCGTTTTTGCTAATTTCTTATAAGAATTTTCTTGAACAATTTTCTTGTTGCTGCTGCTTCTGTCTCTGCTGCCGTCTTGCTTTTAATACCCTGACAAAAAAGGGTATGATTATTTTGCAAGGCCCATAAGGTTTCTGTAGCTGGAACTGTGAAGATTACTTACATTATCATACATATAATGTAAAAAGCGATTAAATCAAAAATCAATTGCTAATAAAGCTCTGTGATTGATGGCAATTTTCTGTACAGTTGAACAAAAAAATAAAACTATTTTCTATTTTCAAGGGTATCAAATGCGTCAGGCAGCCGATGCTGCTCTTTCGCTTCTTCTTCTTATTGGAAGTTGAGTTGTTGCTGCTGCTGCTGCTGTCGACGTCTGTTGGGCAGAGTTTTAGCAACGGCTTTTTGCTTGTACTTGCCGTCATCGTTTAACGGTGTTTCTAAGCAGGCATACATATGTATGTAGATGCATATATGTACACATATGTATGTATGTATGTACATGAGCATGTGAATGCGTGTGTGAGCTTGCACAAAAAGTGTTTCGCCATACTCCCCCCCCCAGCCAACCCT